TTGTACTATACTTTGGTATCTTCAAAGTGGCTTCTAAAGAAAATAAATAGAGCTATACATGAGTGACCTATTGAAAAATCATTAACTCTTCTCAATGGTTGTTGTATGAAACACTTAATAATAAACATACATCCATTTATGAAATAGGATAGGGTCACATATTTTTAAATAGGAAGATTGTCAAATAAAATAAGCATGATCTTTCCACAAATTAGAACAATGACATACTTTCATGTTACTGTAGATAACAGTGTGCAGAAAAAATAAATAAATAAAACACTATGTTTGGAATGAGAAGACATGGATTCAAGGAGTCACTCTGCACATGATGGTAGAGTGGCATTTTAGATTAGTCATTCAGTTCTCTAAGCTCGTAATTCTTCCAACTGCAAAAGAGAAATATCACCCATACCTATATGAGAAGGTGTGATGTAAGAATCCAATAAAACATATGTAAAAAATGTTTCATGACTGTAAAGGTCCTTTTGAGCCAGTGAGACCCTAGAGTGTTAAACTTTACATCAGCACACTTTCAGGAGAAAAGAAAAGAGAAAAAGCAAGTCCTTGATCTGCTACAAGATTCCAAATTTAAAGTAATGAAAGAGTCAATCTCTCATCTTGTAATTACTCTGCTATGCTTTTATTAGGATGAAAGAGCAAAAGAAATAGTAAGAAGGTAACTCATTAGTTGAAGGAATTAATCTCTACCCCATAAAATGTGTCATTTTCCTAGGTATTTATGGATCAATACTACTACTCCACTCAAAATCATGTAAAATAAAAAAAAAAAAATGTTGGTAGGTAGGGAGAGGAAGTTCCTACTTTGGACTGTAAATGTGTCTACTATACCTTTTTTCCCAGTAGAAAAACACTTACAGATACTGCAAAAGAAGGACCACAGCTTACACTTAATCCAACACAGTATTTTAAACTCTGTAAACAAGCTAAACTCTTAATGCAAGGAGAGGTTGACTAGTATTAAGCAACTGATTCAAAACCAAAAACAACAGCATTAAGACTTTTATTTTGGCTTGAAAATACTACTCTGACAGTTCACATAAATAATACTGTTAACTATCTCATTTTATATGAGTTTAGGGAAGAAACTATAGAAAGTTTAGGGAAGAGCATTTCCACAGTACATTTACTTGATGCATTATTTTCTGCTAATTTAACAAAAGAAATGTTACCATAGATCTTTATAAAAGGATTATCAAAGTACTCAAAATCTGCCAAGATTCAGGATTGGCTCAGCCCTGCCCAAACACCTTTTTTAGTGTAGATCCTAGATTAAAATTAGTAAACACATGCTAGGAAAAAAAAAAAAAAAAATAGAACTAGGCTTTTTAAAAAACTATAAATATTTTTAATCTGCTTATAATTAAGCATTATAAAGAAAAAAATGAAAAACTAAGTATACTGCTACTGAAATGTTTTTTTCAGTATATTTTGCACTGATTTTCATGTCAACATACATCATGGTGGGACAAGTACACCTATATATATAAACATCCAATAAATTTAGTGCCTACAGCCTGTCATTTTATCACCAACCAAATTGGCTCAATGCTTCACTTTATAAAAAGGAAAGCTTTAAGGCAGTAATATTACCCCTATTTCATGACATCTGAATAACAGAAGCAAACCACTAAGTTTTAAACCCCCTTAAAAGTTAACAAGACTTTTGTGTACTTAGACATATACCAAACAAAGCTCCTGATTTTTCTGTGTAGTAACCTAGAAATCAAACCACTGAATGCTTAAAAGAACATTTTATTTATACAGACACAAAAAAGACACAATTTCCAATATAAAACATTTTCATTCTAAATTGCATTTAGATAATAATAAATAGGTAATTCTAAAGCTGGTAAGTAAATTTTTGAAAACCAGCTGATTTAAAAAGACAATGCTTCTCAGAAGATTTCTTCAGGAATGTTTTAAATGTGGTGGTATACATATTCTAGACTATTAAATGTTTATATACTTTACTGAAGCTTACAGGCAATAAAAACACATTTCAGGATGACATTTTTGCCAGAAGGTAAGTACACAACATATTTCTACATTTTTATAGATTACTTTTAAGTTCTTAAAATTAATTGTAGGTCCAGGTGCTGAAAATCCCAAATAACAGCAGAACATAAAAGAAAGTTTCTAATGGCACCTTTTCTTTCCAGTATTTCAGGAAACGTAAGCAACAAATGGAATACAGTTGTGACTCCAGCCCCAATTTCCCTTCAAATGCTCACCACTCATTCTTGCTTTGAGCAGTGAAAAGCCTGTAATACACTGCTCCCATCAGAAGACTCAGACAGCCCTACCTGAAACCGTCTACAGTGTGTCAGGTAAGCGCCTTTTAAAGGAAGATGAATGACTATGATTTGTAGAAAAGAAGAAGATAAGAAAGTCAATGTAAAATTTAATATTGAAAATTAACTTTCTAAATGATACTATATAGCAGATAAAACAAATTTTTTAAAAAGGCACTTACCTCACTTCCCATAGACTGGTTACACGATCCAGCTGGGTCGATAGGACAACACCAGCTTAGTGGATGCTGGGATTTCACCTGGAACAGAAACTAGTGACCTATAACTTTAGCAGGTCTACAACCAACGAAGCAAAAATCAAGTGTATAATTTATTTTACATTCTAAGCTTCTCTTCCTTGCTGCTATTTGGGGCTATCAGCACATAACCCTACAATTATTTCAATTTTAAAATATATATTATATATTGTGATCAGTCACCATTCAAGAAGACATCCCTTTAGGTAGCTTGGAATACTAAACACTCTTACCTGCCCCTTAGCATCCTCAGGCATGGCTTTAATGTGCATTCTTTTTAAACAACGAATTACTCCATCATAAAACTGAACTGTGAATGTCCCTGAAACAGGAGTAAGTTGCAATCATTAGAAAACATCATGCAACCTTATAGCAACACTTGAAACTAGGCGGAAGTGACCTGATATAAATAAATGCTCTGCAAATATATACCCCTTGTAAAAACGCCATCAAGTTTGTTCAATTTCTCTTTTCAAAAACAACTCTGTACTATTTTTCTTAAAAAGTGTATAAATTAATTCCTGTAAGTTAGATGCAATTCTGACATTGAGGAATTTTAAACTTTATTTTGTACTAATTTAAATATATTTAGAATTATAACAGATCTGATAAAATTAAAATCAGTATTTACAAAAACAATTATTTCCACAGGAATGATCATTTTCTCTCTTGGAAAATTTCTTTCAAAACAAGTAAAAGAGAGAAAGATCTGACATATGAAAAACATCATTTCCCAGGAAAAGATTATTCTCTTGGCAACACTACTGAACTGGCATATAAAAATTCTACATTCCCAGACTTTTAAGCCAGAAAATCATTTACAAATGCTCAAGATAAATGTGTTTGTGCGCCAATTAGGACACAGAATTCCAGGAAGGTCCAATGCTGCACTGTAGGACATTCAGCTAAGCAGCAGCAGAGCCATAGTGGACATTTCCAGTGCTATCAAGCCACCCAGACCCTTTCCTATTAGCTCATCCTACTTTCACAGCTCAAGTTTCTGCTTGTGTACCCATTCTGCTTGCATTATCCATTCAAGTAAATTTTACAGACCCCTAGCTTTCAAGTCAATATGAGCCAGGACCATTAGAAAAAATTATATAGATTTTATCCTTATAGAAATTCAAATGTTTTTCTACTGTTACCTGGATGAATGTCTTTCTGTTTCTCAAGTGCTAGCAGAGTGCCACCTTAAGTAAACAGATACCTGGCTTTTACAAAAGATTTATAAATAAGAAATGTGATAATTATGATTAATGGTTTTGGAATTGACACCAAAGAAAATGGTCTATTTGTGCAAAGATTTTTCTTATTTTGTAATCTGAATACACCATCTCACTCCCTGTCTTTCTATAGTTAGCATACTGTTAAGTATCACAAATACCTAAACCCAAGTTACAGAAGTACTAACCAAGTGAACAGATATAAAGACAAGTTTTGAGAGAATGTCAAACTGCACACCTTGCATCCCCATTATTCCCGCAATTGTCTCTCCTCTTCTGCACCACAGAACTCCAGAAGAGTCCAGGCTGCTGGCTAGTCCCCCATCTGGGCATTCACCCTCCCACTTTGCTCATACTATTTTCAGTGCCCCCTTCATCCTTCTCTGAAGCCTGTCTAAGCCCTACCCACTCTTCAAGGGCCATTGCAAAATGAAAACTTTCCTGATCACTCAGTTCACAATGACTGGCCCCTTCTTGTCATTTCTACAGGCTGTATTCCAAGTATCAAAATGTTCACATCTCTTAGTTTTGTTTTGCTTTTACAGTAATTGAATTTCTTTTGCCTTTTTCTCATTTTTGCAGGAAGAATGAAGTAGTCTCATCCACTTTACTGGGCATACAGAAATCACAAAATTTCATACAGTACATCTAGTGGAGATCTTTTAAAAAACATAGTGCTTGGCAATATTTAGGTAAGGGTTCAGTGGAACTCCTCCTGAAATGGAGGTAGTCACAGAGCAGTATTTCATCAAAGTAACCTGACTTTTCTACAGCAAATGTCTGTGGATAAATGGGATAAGATAAAGAGTAGTTTTCTGAGTGTGATGTTTATGGACATACATGTACTCACACAACTGCATATGCATTCACTTGGGGAGTGTGAAGCATGAAAGGGAAAGTCCCAAAGCTTCCCATAATGAAAGGAACTGCTCAAGTAGAGAGAAGTTTTTGCTTTATGTTTAGGCAATCCTAGTACCAAACAGAACAGATGAATTATGTTTTCCTTTCCTTCCACAGACTATTCCTGCCTACTCTGTGCTAGGCTTTCATTAGATAGTGTACCGTACTTTGAACAAGATGTCGGCATAGGAGCTTTGTAACAGGGTTCTGCAAAAGTGTCAGTGCACAGGAAGATACAGGCCCCAATGTAAAGAAGGAAAGTGCACAATTAATAACTCAGGTCTTTCTCTACTCTTTCTGCAGTAGGGTAACTAGTAATAAAACCATATCCATTCCCATCGTTTCAATTCACAAAAAACAATGAAAGGGAGTAAAGTCTGCAAAGTTGTGCAATGATTTCAAGTTACAGTGCTATGTTTTCTCACATCTAACATTTTTTACTGTTTTTCTAAATGTTTTGCTCTTCTAACTTATCTGCTGCTCTTTCTCATTTGTTATTACTTTAAATCTTAAGGTTAAATTTGTTTAACAGCTCCCACGATCTCCAAATGACATTCAAACCCTTTAGCAAGATTATGTGGTACCTCACATACTGATTCATGCCTCTTTTTCCCACTCTTCTATCCCTATAGAGAAATTCCTCACCCCGAACAACATTTCCTTAAGTTAGGATGTCTCTTTCACTTCATTTCCAGGTACCATATTTTCTGCCAGAGAAGCTTTTGTATCCCCTCTTTAGCTAACTTATCTGTAGTTCAAGACTCAGTTTAAAGGAAGTGTCCCCTTACTTAGATCAAATGTCCTTCTTGGCAAGAAGCTGTCATTCAGTTTCTATAGCAAAAACAATGAATAGGTAGTCAAGTTTAAGAAATAACTGCAATAGAAAACTAACATGTAATGACTTGAAATATACATTAGGTATTTCATGACTATTTTAAATATTTTATATGAAAAGTTTGAATGTATTTAAGTATTAATTCTCATGCCTATCCATATCTATCAGTCTAAAAAGTTTTACTTTTTAAATTCACTATTTGTCCAAAAGATTGCCAATCCTACCTTAGCATCTCATACTAATATATCTAATTTCCGTGTCTTTTCTCTTTTGCTGGGGAGTGAACCTAACATGGCATTTGACAGACAAATTTTCTACCACTAAAGTATACCCCTAGTTCAGATGTTTTTAAGCTTTTTTCCTCTTGTTTTGTTTTGTAAGAGAGAGTCTCACTATGCGGCCCAAACCAGTCCTAAACTCCAGAGCTAAACTGATTCTACTGCATTAGTCTTCCAAGTATCTGTATGAAATACTGTATATGGCTGATTTCTATATTACTTTCAATGTGTTTGGTCACCTCAGTAACATTTACTTATTACTGAATATTCTAACAAATGTCCACCCAAAGGTTATTAGGAAAACTAACTCAATAATCTACAGGTATTAATGGGAGGAGAGGGGCATAAAAAGAAAACCTCAAACTAATACAGTTGCATACTCTTCTCTCAGAAAATACAGTATGATAACTTGAGAGTTAAACTGATTTGAAAGTCCCTTTGTCTTTAACCTTTCCATGCTTTCTGGTTGAGACACTCATAGATTTAACCACAAACTGGAAACCAAGAAATAGATAATAATATGCATGTAATTTAACTGTGTAAACTGAAAACTTTTAGCTATTTACCTCTTCAAATTTTTATTGTGGCAGTAATTCATGTGCCATCTTACTCTATACAACATATTACAAATTAAATGCTCTCAAAAATTACTAGGAGGAGTCCAGAATGGTGGTGCACACCTATAATCCCAGCACTTGGGAATTGGAAGCAGGAGCATCACCACAAGTCTCAGGCCAGCCTAGGCTACACAATGAGTTCAAGGCCACCTTGAACTACACAGAGGAGCCCTGCCTCGAAAAAAAAAAAAAAACACAAATATGGGCAAGAAATTTATTCAGTAAAACATAAAACAAAAAGAAATATAGAACAATTTTATAAACTAAAACTAAAATACAGTAAAATTTTACTATGAACTTTAAGACTCAGATCCCTTTAGATACATACCTTCTTTGTTAATTGCTTCAATCTTGGCAGGATAATAGCGACAGTCTGTCCAACGAGCCAGGACTTCTTCTCCAGCTTTAAAATCCTATTTTAAACAACTTTTAAGATCAATTCCACATATAATAAGCATTTACTTAACAAAAACAGGCTTTTGTAAAACTCATAGAATCCTTTCAAAATATCTCATTACATAGCTAGCAAATTTAGCCAATGGAAAATGCCTGCTACTTACAAAGAAATCTTCCTCTTCTTTTAGCCCTTCTTTTCTTAGTGCAGGCCTCTCAAGGGGTCGCAGTCTATTGCTATCCCAGTAAATCCATTCATCATAACGATGACTCCAGCGCTCAAAATGGACTAACATCTTCCCCTCTTCATAGTCGATTTTTTCAATTCGTGACGGATACCTCAAAAAGTACAAAGAATTCAATAAAAGGAAACTTTTAAAACTTTATACAAAGTATTAAGTTGAAAAATTTCACTGAATTATACTGCTCACCATTAAAACCATGAAGAAAACAACATATGTCCATATTTTTAAACTATCAAAGCCACAAAGTTTGAATTCTGTTGACTTTTTAAAAAATTACTGCTCCTAAGATCTGAAATTAAACCCTTTGAAATACTCCCAGTGGAAATTCAAATTACTAAACTTTTGAAAAAAAATGTGTCAACATGTCTCAAAAGTCTTAATATATTTCTACTTTTTTGATTCAATACTCCAATTCTAGGACTATAAACACAAAGCATTATATGCAGTAGCAAAGAGATTACCATCTAAAATATGGCTGGAAAAATTGAAGACTGTCTATAGCTACACAAACTATGGCATATCTACCGAAAGGAGTGTTAGTCTTTCAATGTGGTATTTACAAAGAATTTTTAATGTGAAAAAATGTAAAACATAAACGAACACTATATTTAGAATTATAGATACATAATTTGTATATAAAAAACACAAATATACCAGCACATACATCTGTCTCTATATGACGTAAGTACACTTGTTGTTTTTCATTTTTCTATACTTTCTGATATTTTATAATGAACAATGATGGTAAGGACAGACTTAGTAAAGCCTTAAATTTAAATATATAAAAATAACATGGTTTTTGTCTTCAGATGTGATGGTTCTCCTACCAGGTTAATTCCAAAATAGAAATTAGTTCATTTGAAATTTCTTACAAGAAGAACTGGCTCATTATTACTAATGTACTGTATTAAAATGCTCACAGATGACTCAAAATTTTTTAAAAGGATGATTAAATAACATTAAGAAGTCAATCTTAGGACATGGGCGATAATTCAGCCATAATAGTTTCTTTTTTTTTGCTAATTTTTGAGAAATCTGGCGTCTACTTTCCCTATGGAAAACTGGCTTTAACTATAATGCCCAGCAGACTTTAGCTAACTCTAAACAGATTACTCCTTGTTTTATTATCATGTTATTAAGATCTTTTACACATTTTAATGGTCCTGAACCTTTCTTTGACAGAAATTCTTAGTTTTGACAGTGCCATTCTTATTGCATGACACTCAGCTACCTAGAATTTCCTCCATCACACCACAAATACTATGTGCCAGCATTTGTGCTTTTGAAGGTCCTACTCTTTCTATGCAGCACTAAACTGCCATTTCCTTCCCATCTATTCTCATCATTCAGAACTTGCTTTCACATGTGACCATTGGTGTGAAGACTTCTCTACTTCTCACTTCCCTATCACCCCTACCCCATCTCTGTGTGCGCTCTCAACTGAGTGCTGTAGAGCATTTTATATCCTCGAGGCATTGTTATGCATCTCACACACACACACACACACACACACACACACACACACACACACACAGTCAAATAGGCAAAGGAAATACTGGATTAAAAAAAGTTACTGATTTCTTAAGACCTCTTAGTGCTGTCAACAAGATGAAGATAAAGGATTCAGTTTTACAAAACATGGGGAAATATGTAGCCTCTTCTATCACAGAATATTTCTCAACATTTACTAAGGCAGACTCAGGTCTGATGGTAAAATACCTTTAAGCTCTGGGGATAATGGAGTCATATTCATGCTTCCAGCTTCCAGCACCCAGCACAGTGACAGGACACACAACAGCTAAACAGGGAATGTTTACCAGGAATAAAAGTCACAAACTATATATACCTTCTCACGTATGTCAAGGCTGCTGATTCAACTATACCGTTAAGTTATATCTTAGTCATCTTTTTGGGCGAAGTGTTGTAGATAAGTGATAGGTAAGGGAAATCTTCATTAAAGAAAGTCATAAAGAAAGAAACTCTAGGATCAATCCCTGATAGACTTTCTTATCCAATACAATTAGAATCAATGCCATCATGCTTGTCTTTCACAGTACTGCTCTGATTTTGTTTTTGCCTGTCTGGTTTCTAAAGATACAAACTGTCATATTATCGAGGGAAGCTCAGAACAAGGTTTGTCTCAATGTCAACATTCACTAGCCATTAATGTGCTATGAAGAGACTTTTTTAATTATAAAAATAGACAAATTTTCTTAAAATGTAAGAGCCTTCAATTTCACATGCTTAATTTATCATTCCATCTTATAAATTCTGAATAAAAAATAAGGAGGTTAGTCTCCAGGTTTTTTTAAATTATAAATGTATGCTTCTCTATATGTGTGAAACATTTCTCAAAATGAGAATACTCTGCAGTAACAGAGTTAAACACATCTCTATTTTCATAACATGATTCAAATCAGTAAGGATTCAGAATCTAAATGAGCTCAAATAATGTAAATCTTGTTTGCATTTTTAAGTAACTTATGCTTTTCCTAATATGTTTCAAATGCTTCTGGCTCACAGCATGACTGATGCAACAACCGGATTAAAATTTATATTTTAGGGAACCTTTTCAGGATAAGTCATAGTATATCACATTCACTATAGAATTACCTAGGGATTGGTATGTATACTCAGGATAAGGGTCAAGAATTAAATAAATAACACAAATACCCAGGGATATAATCTATTTTAATTATTGTAAGATTTACTAATAAAATTTTGAATCTTTAAGATTCTCTGATCTTATTGTCAAGTGTTCTTTGTATATATAATCTCATTTGATCTTGGAACCAACCAAGGAATAGATAACATAATCTTTGTTGAACAGATGAAGACCAATCCAAGAATACACATGACGCAGCTAACTCAAAACCAAGATGAACTGGCACAAAAGCTCATGTTCTGTGCCAAAAGAAGAAATGGGATAAGGCCTATATCTAAGTGATCATATCATACACAGTATGATAAGTGCATACAGAATTTTACATAAGACATTTTGACAGTTTAGAGAAAGCTAGAGTCCACTGAAGGTCTTACATTTTGAGTTGAGAGAAAACTAGAGTCCACTGAAGGTCACACTGTGCCTGGTAGGTGGGACTCCAAAGATTTAGACTTGAACGAAGTGTATACACAGTGCAAAATTCACTTATTCAGTGTTCATTTATCATCACAGGACTCTATGCTAACACAGTTGACAGTGAGTGTTTAGAGAAAAATAGAATGTGGTATCTGCCCTCAAGGGCCATGTGGTTAAAGACTGGAGAGACATTTAAAGTAAACAGGAAATATCTCCCTGTGGCTTGACTATATGGTAAAAAGCAAGGGTATTAAAGGAGAATAGGGGAACATCAAACTAGACTTGTTTGCTTGGTTCAAACTTGAACTGCTCTGAAACAGCAAACTAATGAAATGACCTTTTACTCTTCAAATGAAATGTCACTTCAAGTTTATAGTTGATTTGGTTATCAATTACACCTTAGAAGAAAATCACAGTACCAAGATCTCTGCAACGTATGTGAACTGTATAAAATGGAAATAAAGCATTCAGTTCTAGAGAATAAAATGATTTCCTTATTTTCACAGATGGCCTATAGTAATAATATTTTGATACATACAATAAAGGAAAAAACAGTTAAGCCAATGTACTCACAAATGATTATCTTGTACAATATTATTTTGATGCACTATTTATGTTTGACTATAATTGACTATGAATTGAACATAAAATTTTTCTTACTGAACTCAGAAGATATACAGTGTTGTGTTTTTGTTTTGGTCATTTTTTAAAATGCTGAATCACAAAAAGCTGTTAAGAGTAAAGAACAGTGATTATTAGGCTCAGTCCCAGATATTTAACTGGTTTGGGAAAAAGATTTAAGAAGTAGGCAACTGGAGTTTAAGAGTTTAGTGTCAGAGATAAGATGGCAAAACAATGATTAGGAACAAGAAAATAAAACCACCATAATGCACATCTCCCAAGGTTTCAACAGAAAGAGATGGAGTGAAGGTAATCTCACTGAAAGTATTGTTTCCTAACATCAAAATTCTACATAGCGATTTCTTACTCCTTATCATTTACTGAAAAATACAGAAACTTGATACTCTACCTTCCCTACTATCATCTCACTTCCAAATGCAGGAGCTGGCTAAATAGTATGCTCTTGTTCAGAAAATAAGGAAATAACTCCAATGCTCTGTATCTACCCTGCTTTATTATGTCTTTTATACCAAAATCTTGGAAAACAGTTTATCCTCAGAAAATTCAAGAAAAACTATTCACCTTAAAATAAATTCTAGCTTTTTTGATTTAATGGAAGTGAAAAACATACCAAAATACTGAGAAGACTTAATTGACACTTTTTCAATCAGCTTTTTCAATCACTTTTTCATGGGACCCTTTCTGAATCCATGTCCTTTAATGGTCAAGTTAAACTGCGGCTATATTGACAAAGAGATTAAAGCATCACCAACAATAAAATTATTTTCACCTTCTCATTTTACTGCCTTATCTGATATAATGTCATGTTAATACAATGACTGGAACCTCTAACTTGTACAGGATTGTTCAGAGAGTAACAATATCTACAAAAATACAGTGAATATTTAAATTTTGAAAGATTTAGTTTAGTATAAGACTCATTGTCAATAATTCCCCTCAAAATTCTCCCACTGGCTTCAAACACAATCATCCTGTCATTCATGTCATTTTCTGAAGCAGTTCTACAAGGCTTCTTTCATGTCTTCTCAAGGCTGCCTCAGTGTCCTAAATCAATTCAAAAATTTATGGCAATTTCTCTCAAATAATATCATTATAAGATGTCTTATCCTCCTTATTCACTGGATCTTGTACTGTGTGACTTCTGGGTCTTTCCCTAAGTCAAAATGACCATGAAAGGTAAATGTTTTTAACTGAATCAAGACACTGAGGCAGCCAAGATAGTACAACTCACAAGATAAACACTCACAAAGAGGACTTCCAGAACTGCTCCACAAAGTGGCGGGAACAATAGGATAAATATGTCTGAAACAAGGGCAAGTACTCTGAGGAGAATTAATGTAATGTGTCTTACTATAACAAATTTTTAAAATTTA